CGCAGTTATCTGTTCGATACAACGAAGATAAGGAACATGCAGAATTGACTAGAGACTATCGCTGAGACCATTATTGCAAAAGCTACAGAAGTTCACATACAAAACGCAAAACGTTATTACAGCCGCATATGGAGTACTGCCGATTACCGTGCTCAGACTACGGGCTTGATCTCGAATCCGTTCTTGATCAGATTTCAAGGGTTATCCAAATTCAGATAGATATTCTTACAGCCCGACGTTATTTGTCATCTGTGTTGAACTGTATGACATTGATTCAGACTATAATGCAAGCGCGATTCCAATATCTTGACGATCCTCTTAAAACGTTACCGGAAATTAGCCGCGAACACCTGTACATACTCCATAAAGCCAATATGTCTACGCTGGCCGAAAAGGTCCGCAAAAGGGAAGGTTTCGCAACTCTTCAAAAGTATCTACAGTTAGGGTTTGATCCCGAGTACGTTAAGACAGTCATAACAGTCTGCAAAGAGTTCCCATAAATAGTATTAAGAATCTTCGTCGATGGGCCAGGTGGCAGTCTTTGCAAATAAAAAGTAGACCTTTACAAGGCCCTGTGCCAGCAGATTACTATATTAAGGTCAAGCCTTGGTATTAAGAAGACTACCTAGTGAGCGTTGACCTGACTTGGCATAACTCTAAACCGGGTCAGCGTGGCGTCCCGAAAGCGGCAATGCAGTCACGGACGCTAAAGTCCACAAATGAAAACTGGTTTATCATCTTAGGATATTAAAGGTTCTGGCGAATTATACACTCTCAAAGAGCTATCAGGCTTCTACTACTGACGACTCACCAATTGACGTTCAGTGTGCTGAGGAGTATAAATCAGCGGACGATTCTCACCACATTCGTCGCACCCGACGTTTACTTTGGACTCGATCAGGAATACAATCTGCATCTCGAACCAGAGAGGTAGCTAGGCCTATAATATTACAAGGTTTAAGAAATGGAAACTGAGTAAATTTGACTGATAATTTAGAAAGTACTATACAGATGCCAGGGGAGTTGAGCAGCAGAACCAGCTAGTGAGGGTTCGTAAATGCTTGTGAATGAAATGGTCGCCCAACTGTAGCTTATATCTTTGTAATAAATGTTAAATGTTAACCGTTTTAGTAGTGTTTTCCATTAAGGATATGCTTGAAGATGAGAACGTATTTTAGGCGTCATCATTTGATGAGAAATTCCAGTTCCGAACCGAAAAGCAAAAATGGACATGTTTCGACTCCCTTACTGTAATTAGTTACGACAAAAAATACGTGATAATAAATTGGTCATGGTATATCATCAAAATAAAGGTGCAAAATTATTGCATTACCTACATATATATTGTGGTTAAATTTTCGAATAAAAATGGAGTCCTCGAACTAGTTGAGCTGCGAAAAAGGAGGCAATAATCAAAAACAATGGTGTGTATCTTTCTTGACAAAAAAGAAGCGCACGCAAAAAGATATATGGAGGGAGAACTTTGGTCTTTTATGAAACCTCTAATGATAGTGATTACCAACTAATGACACCGCATTTCGTTGCCTGCAAAATAATAATAATAGAAGTCTAGCTTATTGAAATATGAATTGCATGCAATGAAATACATAAACAGCAATATCTACATATATTGGGGTACGCGTCCGAGATTTAGAGTTCTCTACATACGAATTTCGAGTGTTATTAGGTCTCTTTCAAAATGTTAGATTCAACAAAGTAATTTTGATTAGATGGAACAATCAGGGCAAGTTTGTATCCCTGGTTAGTGTCCGACCGTCGTAGTTAATTTGCATGATAGTCCAGTCTCGTCTATTTTTTAAAATTTATATGAATATACTGCATTGTAGTAGTTAGAGTCTTGTAATAAGTAGTAAAATTATAATAGTTAGTAGAATAGATGAATGATGACCGACATTACAATGTCGGTCAGACAGAATTCATACCGATGAAGCTCGGAGCATTGATAGAAGTCCGCACCTAGACAACATCAGCTAACAGTTCCTTTCTATTGCCTTCGAAATGTTTCATAAGCGGCTAAACTTTATAATATATAGGTAAAGCTCTTTTGTTTTGAATGAACCTGCAACTCACAGAGGAATTCACGACGATTTTCTGACTGAGCTTCCCATTATTTTGAACTGAACCATGTAGTTTATATGTTTAGGTTATTCGCAAAGTGCGGCGCTTACATCCGAATTTTTTTTTTATACTTTGTTTGAAAACTGTAGATAAAAGCAGATTTCAAGATTTCGGGGGTGCTAGAAGCGTTGTTCCTAATGAGCACAACTATTAATTGTGAAAATCATTTACTGCGATTATAGGATCAATTTAGGAAGTAAAACACTCATTAGTCATTTTGAAAGTATTATTTTTTAATTCGCGAGTAACGTTTTAATCACAGCCGTGCATATAGCGCAATAGGTAGGTATAAATTCATAAGTGCCATTCAAATACCCTACATACAAAAATATCTAACGAAATTAATTTTTAAGGTACTAACAGCACAGAAGTACCAAAAATGCAAAACGTGCAAAAAGTCTCAGAAGAGTTAACTGTTAAAGCTTACCTAGGTAACCCAATTCATATTCTCTTTTCCAAAACGACTGCTTGCCTTTCTAAATCAAGGCAGGTGCATCAAAGGTGACTTTCAAAGTCCTCTTCAATTTTGAGCCCTCTATAATCAAACACTACTGAGGATCTTCCGGTTTACCTCGTGAAAATCTTTCTCGAACTTTTCAAGAACCACATGAAACTGGTAGTAACGTAGGTCGTCGATTCCGGCAAAGTAGGAAGTTTTTAATCTCGTTAATGCTTCATCTAACGTGAAAAGATCGGATGATATATGATTTTCGCTTAAATTTTGAAAGCGGCGCACGGTTTTTAGCATTGACTGGTTTATTGTTTTGTTCTAGCAAAAATTGGCTTTGTTTTGATACCAAATGTAGCGGATGATCGCACGTTTGTTACGACAAACAGCTTTCCGAAGATTTATCGGGATTATTATTATTAGGCGCCACAATCACATCAAATCAAGCAAACATGGGATCGTGCAACAGTGTAACAGCGTCTCAGTCAAATAAGTGCAAGCATATGGCTGCTGACTACTCACTAAAAAGCTATTTATGGGGATTTTTTCCAAAATACTTTAAAATGTAAGCTTTTTCCTGTTACAATAAAGTAATAGTCATTAACTCAATGGACCCAAATGCCGACGTTATACTTCAGCAGCGACGTCTTAACTGCTCTGAACATTTCCTTCATGTAACATGGTTATGTTACACACTCCGTTAAACTTATAGAGAGGTGAGGAGCAGGTAGGGCTTGAGCTCGTTTTGCGTAAACTATTGTAACGCCAATGTCAAGCTAAATGTGTTAATTCTGTCCGATTTCTATTCTGTTCTTGCCATGTTTCTGAAAGGATAAAGCGGTGGCATCTTACATTGAGTTTTTACTACGAAATAGACTGAGTGGTGCTCAGGTTGTCTTTGAATGTATTACTGGTCACGCTTAAACTGAGACTGAATTCCGCGTTAATGACAAAAAGGTACGGGATTGTTTACCGCTTTCCAACTTTGTATATGGCCAGGGCAAAAGCTGCGTTGTCATGAACTCTGTCACGCTACGGCTCCAGATTTTACTCTCTTAGTGAAGAAACTCATTGTGAGGGCCAAGTTGATTCGATTCATCAAGTTCAATGAATTCGTAAGACTGAGGAGCGTCAACTTCTCAGTATGTCGTTATGTTTGGCTGTGGTATATCATACCATACCAAACTTTTGCTTTTCTCGTGTTGGTCTGCAGATTTCTCGCTGTTCGTGACAGTGCTGAGTCTGGTTCTCCTAGGCATTTTTATGACTGATGGTTTTCGACAATGTCTCTTTTCTGGTATGAAGTGTGTTTGCTGAATTGATTAGTATATCCATATGTCGTTCCGTTTTCAATAATTTTATGTCTCACATCATTTGTAAATCGAGAAAGTTACCGTCGTATACCATATGTTGATATCACTGATCATGAACTAATAACCAGCATTATGATCAGTTTTCAACTGTATAAGACTTAGGATTGAATTGCGTTGTTTATGTATAAAAATGAGATGTTGGAATACGCATGCAAAGCTAGTGTGCCCGTGGAGCTCGGGATTGAAGAGTACAGACAAGATTCATGCAGTGAATTCGCTCGTCTCGGGTTGCGAAAACGACTAGAAGTATAACGACAAAGCTACAATAGAAAATTAATTTTATAGTTCTTTCTCAGCGCTTCTTTCTATGGCAAGCTGATTAATGATGTTGTTTTAGCATTTGGTTCAGTCTGAGCGACTTGGAAGGCCTTTATCGCTCAGTACCTATACGCTGTCCATATGGGATTCGACGAGTTCCGAATACCTAATCAGACCGGAAAAACCCCATAGACACACAAGGTTTTCACTGGTCTATCGCTAATGTTTCAAAGCGGAATTCATTGCGTCAATTGAATAAAAATTGCGCTTAAGTAATACAAAGCCCTGTAGGTTGTATTTGTATCATCGATTTCTAGGAGGTGCTTCTAAGAGCCTTGCGCACTTTCGGCAAGAAACAGGCTCTTAACGAAAATGCTATCTGAAATGATTTTATGTTAAGCCTTATCTATATTGGGGTTAATGGATACAGAACCCTATTTTTTTGTCAACCGCAGAATAATAAATATTCTATCACAAACGGCAGTGGATTATTTTATGTAAACCTATAAGCATTTGCTTGAACATATTTGCTGTTGCTTATTTTATTTAAACATAGACTTCATCGCTCTTTTTATTGATATGTGTACTGCCGTGATATGGTTACATTTCCTATTTGGAATGACTTTAAACATTGTCTTCGAAGCATTGTAATAATGCTTTTATAGCTTGAATCGATTTTTGTTTTGCGACGAATTAACCAAGATATCGATACATAAATGACACGGCTAAAATATTTTTCAACTGATATAGCAAATGCATAACATTTGATTAAATAATTACAGGAATTTTGACTCGAACTCCGATGCAATACCGTTATGACAGATGACGAGACAGCAGCTGCCGATTCGACTGACGAATCGGAACCCAGTGGGTCAAAAGTTAGTGCAGCGAAAGTATCTGGAGAGGCCTGCAAAACAACCTGCAAGGCTCGTAAAGACCTTCCGTTGAAGGTTCAAGTGGAAGTGCTAACGAAGTTGATGGCTGGAGCAAAACAAAGCCAACTTGCCATCGAATTCAATGTCTCGCAGAGCCAGATCTCGCGGATCAAATCAAGCCAAGAACGGATTCTTTGTCAGTTTCTAAACAATGGCAATCTGAATAGGCGAAGAGCTCGTGTTGGTCCTCAAAAAGAGCTTGAGGAAGAGTTGCTTAAGTGGTATCAAGACGAAGTTAGCAAAGGAACAGCATTCAATGGCAAGTTTATCCTATGTTCCCACCTATGTTGTTTCAAAAGCACGTTATAGACCTAAAAATATTGTAAGAGGGCTAACAAGCATGCCAGTCACGGAAACTCAACGGCTTTAGGTGTTACCCGTGTTGCTTATATGGTCCACGGATTGGTAAATCTAAGCATATGCGCCGGGATGTTGAACGCTTTATTTGCTTTCTAATCGCCTGTACTCATGAAAGTACCTCGGATCTTTAACACTTGTAACACACCGCATGCACGAAATAAGATAATCTTCCGTTTAATAGCTTCCGTTTAATGATAATTCTGACGAATCTGCAAATGTCACACGACACTGATTATCGAAAAAAAATTCGGTCTGCCATTCTCGATAGGAGGTCCGGTTTTTTACTTTCTACAACTCATTATTATTACTGTTCTTGTGCATTGCGTTGCAGGCGTAATGATTACTAGCCGCGCCAATCAACTCGCGAAAGAGCTAGGTTTATTCGATTGGAAAGCTTCAAAGGGTTGGTTCTATAGGTGGCGACTACGAAACAATGTTTTGTTACGAAGCTCTCTTACGTCCGCTTTAGAACCTGTTGAAACAGAAACCAACGCGGCGTCATCTGCTCTCGCCGAATTCAGGAAGGTCTTAGCAAATTATGCACACGGTTAGTGAGGACGTTGTATTTGCATTGAAACTGTTGTTTCTCTATACTCTTGTTATAGTTATGTGGTGATAGTGTGCGTGCTTGCTCTAATTTAGAAACAATTAAATAATCTAGGTATGAAACTGGGTGTAGACGTGATTTGTTTCGTGTTAAGCGAACTCAACCGTCTGAAACAATGTTTAGCAGCGGTACAGGAGCTAAAACTCGAAGCATTTAGACGAGATAACGAAAGCAGATAAAGCAAATGGACAAAAAGAGATCGTTAATTATTTAACGACAAACGTGCAACATTTAAATGTAATAGTACACCAATAATGCATATTCTAGCATCGCACGGCGTACTTTTTCTATATTTCATATAAAAAACGAGTTTCCGATAGAACTCTGGTAATAAATGTTATATTACGGGCTAATTCAAACCGAACTTTTAAAACTACATTTCACATTCAAAGCTAGTGTTTATTATAAGGCTGGCAATGTTGCAATGTTTCCAAATATACACGTTGTTATCTAGTCATTGTAAGCATACTACTGTATGATTGAATAGATTCAAGTGTATGTTGATCGTAAATAAAATGCAAAAGACTGCTTCGAAGGCTCTTAGCTGTGGAGAACGTCGAAAATTAAAATTAAATCTGTTATTATATTGTCCGGCAGATAACGTATATGTGATGGACGAAGCCACGCTTCTTTATCGTACACCACCAAGTAAAGAAAGACAACTCTTTGTTGATCCGCATGAACGAGTAGCAATTCTATTTTGTGCCAATCGATCCGGGTCTGCACTAATGCCACCTGTACTTATTGGGCGAACAGCAGAACCTGCATGTCTCAAAGGCGTGAAGAAATACCCCGTTCTGTACACAAACTCGCCTGGAGCAATGATGACATCAAACATATTCCACGGATGGCTACAACAAATAGATTCCGATTGCGCAAAAAGCAACAAGAAGATTGCTCTCGTCGCCAATGACATTCCGGTATTTTAAAACTGATTTCAAATGTTTGATTCCTTGACTGATAATTATTAATGATTCGTCTTCGTTAGCATAACTAAATAAAAAAAATATGAGAGGTTTTTTCCGAAGAGCGGATAATTTACGAATTTCGGAAAAATCTCTGATCATTTTGTGAATTATAACTTCGTGAATTATAATTTCGTTTAGAGAGCATTAAGTACGACAGTCACATGGGATCGCTTCCAAGTTATCGACAAATTCTAGATAATACGTATAAGTATACTTATTAGTAGTAAACCTATTCAAAGTATTACCTAATGAGCTGAATGAAACATTAACAAAAAAATATATTTGCATGTACCGTCATAACAATAGGCCCATAGAGTGCCTCATCTGATCCTTAAGAATATTCGTCTGATATACCTGCCGTATCAGATCCGTCCACTGGAAAGCCTTGTAGCTAAATTCAAGCTTCGCTATCGAGAACACCTGGTTCGAGAGCTAGCAGTACTGTGTGATTACTCTCTCCAAAGGGTTCAGCAGGCATCGACTGTAAGTATTTCCCAAATGAGATCATCAGATCTTTGTCTAAACATAAGAAAGCCGCTTAAAAGATGTGCGCCTTATTATGTTATCATAACATTCTCATGACCTTCTAACTAAAGACACAACAATCCTCACTTCGCCCAGTACTTTCAAAGCTCGTTGGTTTCTGCTACAAATACTCCACAGATAGCAGACAATCAAGTTGCGTGAATCCTGTGTTGTTTTTCTTGTTCATTATATACTAGCATTGTGAGTCTCTTTAGTAATTCTTTAATTTTTTCAGATCTCATTACTAAGATGTATGCATTTTGTCAAGTTGGCGTGGAATCAACTGACTACCGAGGATGTTTCTTCCTGCATTGAATCTATCATAAGGACAGTGCTCGGAGTGAATTTCGAACCTGAGAATAATGATTTGGACACACCTCTGCCGACCAACGACGTGGGTCCGTTGCCATTCGACCTAGAACCCTCAGACCTACGAGTACTCGAGCAATTAGAGAAACAGATGGAGATAAAACTTGACAATGAAGCCCTATTAGCTGTTGAAGAGAACGATTTTTTCGACGAGCAATTTATGGGACTCAAACTCGCTCCGCCCAAAAAGCGCGAAATACATGCCGCTCTTGAGGTTAGCACAGGAAAAACAATGCATAAAAATGGACTTCGTAAGAGCGCAACACAGAGCTCGAGTAATGCTTTGATATTTTCCGCAGTTGTATTTTCTCTTTATATATTGTTAATTATGATACATACTGTGTCAGCTTTTTTAAAACGTACACCGGATGAAACAACGACATATATGAATAAGCATGCATCATAGGGTCTTCGAGGAGTAGGCTTAGCTGTAAATACTTTACTAAAACCCTTAGCCTATTATAATGCTACATTTAGCCGATGTAAACACTAGGAGCGTTGTTCTTTTTGCGTTACTTTATTAGTCACCTGCGTAAGATATTTTATAATCAAAACCGTTTATTGTAATCACAAAAAGGTAACATCCTTTTCCCTTTTTTGTCGTGATGGCATAGCTATAAAGGCAAAAACGACACTAAAGTAATTATAATGGTTTTTCTGTAAGACTCATCGAAATCAGGCTCCTTATCATATTCTTTAGAAACTTACCTTAGACTTTGTTCCAGTTACATTTTCAGTCTTTTTGCCTTGTATAATTTGCTTGCAAGCAAATTATATAAATCGATTCAAGCGTTTCTAAATACTATCATATTAAGCAACGTCCACCATTGTGACAATACGTTATTTTGTGCACAGGTACTGCGCCGTTTCTATGATCTGAACGGCTATGACCCTGCTCCATTATATGGTATAGATGAAACACTGCAACAGCACATCGCGCAGCACGGCCTTCTACCCTTGCCGGGCCCAGGTGCACCTAGCCAACAAGCTCAAACGACATGTCTGATCACTCAATCTAATGCTGGTTCTTCAGGACCTCCAGTAGCAGGAACTGGTACAACCGTTGTACCTCATCCGGGAGCCAGTTTGAGTCATCCCGCTCATGCGCTCGGCTTGGGTGCTCATCCTCAACTATTGGCCGTTAGACCCTCTACGTCCGCAGCGATTCCGCTGGACGATATCCATATGCAACAGTCTGCCCACCCGTCACATCAGCATCTAACACAATCGCATATTATTCAACTGGGATAGTTTAAACGATAAAAAGCCGTTTTCTCGCAAACTGTGTAATACACAACTTTGTACAATAAAGTAAAAAAACAATTTAAGGTTTCAATTAAGCCTACATGGGCTGCGTTTAAGAGCTTTTAGCATGTTTGATGGAAAAACTGTAGGGAAACCTAATTGAGGCCGGTTATAGTAGCGGTTTTATACTACAGTCATGAAATGAAGCCATTTGCAAACAGACTTCGAATTATGTCTAGATGGCTCCTTCTGTGACTATGCGATCTTATATTTTCATTTACTTTAAATAAAAAATCTAAAAATGTCAGGCGAATCCTTAGAACAGTCACTTTTCTTTTCTACATGAGACAAGAGCTTTAATATCTAAAATTACTGAAATATTTACAGGTAACTAACCTTGCTTTGACTTTGTTCGTTACCTGATTTGATTCATTTGACTTGGTTATTATTATTATTATTTTCATAACTATTTATCTTATTCAGGAGCCTACAAAAAGCCTAAAACAAACTTCTCAAAGTTTCCGATAATGTCATAGGGTGTGAGTGGAAAATACTGTGTGATGTATTTTCTTGAAATTGCCCTATTTTTTATATAGCTAGGGTAACTTAGTACCAGTTCCATGTAAAGGAGCAGGTACACCGAGCCCTAGCATTTTCTTTTTACATACAAATATATGTATACAAAAAACACAGTTAATTTCAATATATTTCTTTATTTGACTCAATATAAGCTGCCAGTTTGATATGTTTAACAGGTACCATGTATCTAGTACATATCTTATTACATAGTTTGCATAGAAACGTGAGTACTTACCACTAACCTACAGAGGAGTGCGAAAGTTTTTTAAACAATTTCTTTGAAAATGTAGTTCTCCTTGCTCTTGCCCAAATGTTTCATTTATTTCCGATCATATTATCTCGTGAAAGATATGACTAAGCCGTTGAAATACTAAGCGCAGTTAGAATATATAACTTCAATTTGCATGTAACCGTTTTTAAATTTTAAAGTAAATTACATATGTGTAACTTTTCCTTCCATGTCAATTTACAACATCTTAAACACTTGATTGCTTATCCTCATGCCAAAATTACAACGTGTCATAAGACTTGAAATCTTTTACTTAATTTTCTCTGGCGAAACATTATCTACAAATATCCTGAAAATACTATCCTCCGTTTCAAACTAATTTTCTCCATACCTGAAACTGTCTTCGCATTTCCTCTATACTTGCCATAAAAAAAAAGTTATTCGCTTCAAAAGTTGATCCTTGTGCATTCACTATTCTTAATTACACACTGAAAATGTAATAAAGGTTATAACCCGTTAAATAGTGTATACATTTTGGACATTTAATAAACACATCTATTACTATTTTTAATTATCGTGTTCGAGAGCTAGAAGAAACGTCCGTCGGGAAAAACGACCTATTTCGAAGAACCCAGAACATTTGATTTACCCAATGCATCTAGAGCGATACCACAAGCTTTAAGACTATGGATCATCTATAGTTTTCTTACATCTCAGCAAATATATTTCGTATCTTCTAATCGTGCCACGAGACAATTTCAATTTATAAAGCCATCTTGCAAAACTATACATATAACTCTTATAATTTATTTTCGCTATCTTGTTTAAAATATGATCTCTATGCGTAAATGTTTGGGAATAAAGTAAACGCATGTCATGCCGACACAAAGCGTTTCGAAGAACCCAATCTAAATTTACTTCACTTTGCGTTCCCAGGATAACCCTCGTAAGGGACCACGAGCTCCAACATCGTAAAACAATAGCTTTTAGCCATGCGTAAGCATTTAGTAGTAAAATATTTGAGCCGAAAATTGACTAGATTTCTTTTACTCTTGGTTGGAAATGCCGATACATTACAAAACATTGACCAAATGACCCAGGCCAATAAACGTATGTTACACGTGTTGCAAAAATGCAGGGTTCAACTGAGGAAAAAACTAAGTGTTAAAAAAGTTCTAAACCTACAACTTTTTACCCTGCAAATGATAACATCGAAACTGCTGTTAATCGACAGACCTCTAAAATAAAAGAGGAATAGATAATACAGGTCATTATATTACATTAGTATATTATCATATTATAAATCTAACTAACCAATGCATCAAATCAAATAAATACACTTTATTTATAATGAATGAACTGTCTGCACAGTCAATTTTGCTCACCAAAATAATGAAATGCCTACATTATAAGCTAGCAAACAAAAAAAATCGAATGCACGTATTTAATGCTCACATGCTTTGCCTGGCTTACACGCCACACCACACTCACCAGCCTCTACGACAAAATGGCTGTGATGCCGTTGACACCGCGTAAGTCACGAGTGTTCGAAGCCCATGAGGGCGCTGTAATCGCAGGAGCACGAGACAAAGTGGGATGGCGGGCCTTACCGAAAGAGAGACCGCTTTTCGTGAGTTCTCTGTTACTCTTATATTTATAAATAATCATAATTGACCAGGTATGTACTAGCCATTAAATTGTACATTGAAAACAGTCACATAGCAATAAGTACGCACAGTACTTACGGAACTAGCAAGAATACATTAACTAGTATGACCATTCTACACACAGAACTGATAGATATTACTGTGCAGGAACCTGATGAGACCAAAGTTACAACAGACATTTTTATATCTAATAGGTTTCTACTCCTATGGCGCACATGGAAATTAATACGAACGTCCACTTGATGATCTACTAATAGAAGTCATTATTATTATGACAACAGTTCATAAATATATCACTAAAGGCTAAAATACAAGTACACTTTTAATTTTTCAAAAAATATAATACTTACGGACTTGAAGTAATGTTCACAGTTTTTATAATGTTTACTCTCCCCTTTCCTTCTTCATTGTCATGGGATTTTTTATTAATCCCAATCTCTCCGAACTGATACGGCCTCAGAGTTCGCATATCTATTCAAACTTCAAAGTTTATCTAAATCTTAAATCGTTTATATATTTTATTACTATCCCGCTTGAACGCAGAGTGACAAAAAGAACGGGTAATTAAATTAAACGAAAATGTAAGCAATCTAATGAGGAAAGTTAATCCGGTGGACAGGAGGAAAGCCAGGTAATAGGAGATTGGGTGAACGAAGTAAAGGTGATGTACTGTAGATATGTATATACAGGATACGGCACCTAAACTAGGACAAACGTAGGTAGACTATTTGTCGCAACGGGCAGGTTTTGATACACCTAGAGGAGAGGGTCTCCTGCAGAAAAAAAAAACAGTCATTTTGATAGGAGGATATCATTTGCCGGCCGGGTCATCTAGATAAGCTTCAACGGTTAGTTTTTTTGAGGCTTTTTACACGTTTTATATTTTCTGGCCGATGTGATCCCTAGCATTTTTCGAGACACTTACCCTGTTATTACCTTATAATTGAACTTCCATTGAAATTTTTTCAACGTAATGTATTGGAACAACACTGGTGATTTTATACCAACTAACATAATTTAATGCGTGATAAGCACAAAAAGTTACATGCGGATTAAAAATGATTATTTTGAAAATTATTAGAGTGGCTCAGGTCTGGAATTGAAGCTGTAATTGCTGTGAATGATGACTATATTGAGCACACGTGAGTCTCAGTAATACACATCTAACACACGCAAGAAATGCAAACGGCAACTAATCTCTTTGTATAAGATTTTAAACAGGTGCCGTGTTCTATATATGTATATATATATATATATGTATGTGTATATATATATATATATAGACTTTTTCAATCTGCGTCCTTGTTCTTATCTTTGTTTCATCATTATTAAATATCACCGGGTCTCGACCGTGGTATATATATATATATATAGCGCTTAGAAAAGGCATGACTAGCTTGAAATTGAGTTTAGGATGTTAAATCTACCGCAACATTAGGAGCGATAAATGATTCTGTTCACTATAGAAACCTTAAAAACTGCTAAAGTATATCACGGGTATTATCTTAGTTAATTCATTGTAGTGACAAGTTCGACTACTTACAACTAAGAATGCAGTGTTTATATGAGTCAAGTTTCTATGCCTGTTCTTGTTGAATTTTCACACCCGATTCGATGAACTCAGAATAAAATTGATATTAAATTAGACGAGAAGTTTAGTTTTATAAGATTTGTAGAGTGTTCTTTAGGATAGAACACTGTGTCGCAAGTTTGCCTGTATTTCTACCCGCTTATGGATTCTTAAAATGTTTATTCGAACATAAAAGACAAGGAGCACACTCACTTTATATAACTAAAAAGGATCTTTGCTTTACGAAATCACAGGCCATTTATGAATCATTCGAATATCATTAATTAGACGCATTACAAAAAACGCATATCTACAGATAAATACAACATATTCTTTTATAGTCTATCGTTTTATAAAGGGTTTTAAGTGAATTATCTATCTAAACGGTGCTTCCTTATCCATCAAGCTAACGTACGACATGATAATTACCAAGTAAAAAAAGTACTTCTTGCGTTTTTTAATTTCTACAAAAACTTTTAGCCAAATTTCGGAACTGCAAATTTCAGTAGCGCCGAATTTTATTTAATCAAGATATTCGCGCTTTGCTTACAAGTTTAATGAATTTGAGCTCATATTGGGATTTTCCTATATTGCTACCCGTGATAAACTTGCAAACTGTGCAAGACGGAAATGATAAGCAGTGTTAAGCGCTGAAATTTCAAGAGGGTGAAAAGAGTGGAAAATGATACTCTATCGTCAGCAAGCTTAGTCTTTTTTAGATTCCTAACGCCTCCAGCTAAGCCATGGCTGTGTTATTGTTTTATGACTTTTAGAATACAGTTCCCTCTGAGCTATTCGCTTCTGAGCTGAGCTGGTGATTGTACGACAAAACTCTACAGTTTTCTTCTTACCAATTTTGCCAACAAATTTACATGTCTTCATTATTATTAAAACTTAATATTAGAAAATACTGATGTAGCATCAAAACGCCAACACAGTGTATAAAGAACTTAAATTAGATATAGCTATTATTATTATGTTTATTATTACTATTTATTATTTAACATATAAATATACCTTCCTGTTCATTTAATAACCTCTTTCGTGCAGTATTGCCAGTAATTTAGCAGAATTTTTGCTTTTCTCAAATTCTTCTATATTTGAATTTCGCTCGTAAACTAAAGTTCACCGTTATATGTTAGTCGGCTGAGGTACACAAACGATTATCATCTCGATAGTCGTTTCTTCAATGAAACTCGTCTTTCTGTTGTGTCATTCGTCAGTCGAGCGAATTTTTTCAAGAAATTACGAATCATGAAATGATTTGTTGAGATCACGAGAGCCTACGGGAAACAGCCACATTTCACAACGTGTCCCGCGACAAATGTTGACGCAGATGCTGTTGCACCGCAACGATTCGGCTCACCTCGGTGGGAACAGAGTATTTTGCTCATCGACGAAGCTCCGCTTCTTCGCTATAGTTCGTATCCAGAAGAAGATTCCCTCGATCACTTCGAAATTTGTGCAAAGTGAACTAAATGCTCTTTAATTAGCCAAACATTTTCATTACTGAGTGATAACCATAGCAGTTATATGGTCAAAGTTATTTTGTGTGTTCATGGTGAGTGAATATGATATTCTGTGGAAGAAACATAGATTTCCGCAGCTACAGATCGACCCCTCGTTCTATTGCGATATTTGCTTAAATAAATACTACAATCGGTGGCTTTAATAATCGTATGCGGAAAAAAGTGAATAACTTGTGTTCTGGTAAGTATGAATGCAGTGAAGGTGTCCTTCCTATGTTAGTCTTAATTGGTGACTATGGGAAGGGAAAACATCCGATAGAAAGCTTTGATTCATACTAAGATTTCTCATCAAATGTCAACCAAACCCTCATTGAGTATTTTTGTTTTCCAAGGATATTACCACATTGTTGCAAGCTGCTTTGAACAATTTGGTGAAGGAGTTAATCCATCATAAAAGCTCTATTTTAGGATAATGCGGCATTCATTTTTGATCGAGCAGGCACACAGCCGACAGATCGTTTAACATAAAAGATTTGAGTATGCCTGCAGCAGCACAGCGTATCATGGCTACCTGCAATTCAAACGCTCATAGCAGAAGTCTTCTTTTTGTCTCAATGGGAGCATACGAATTTATTTTATGCTCATTTCGAAATTTTTTTACGTCAACAAAGTGTCCATTATTCTATCGAGCTGTTACTGCCATTGAAATAGCTTTCAGTAGTTATTAAAGTAAAACGCACCGTTTAGCAAGGTTGACTCTCAGAAGATTGCCAGTGAAATACAAACACGAAATGTTTCACGATAGCTGTGATTTCTATCTATCTGTTGTTGTTACTGGTTTGCATGTCAGCGAAAATGGAGGTGTTAGTTTTTCGGGTGGCTTCCATAGCGTCTAGTAAAAGCACCGTGTCCTGTTAGACGAGTTGGCTTCGTAATTGTTCAAGCATGTATCATTGATTAATAGTGCTGAAAGGGTTTTTTGATTTAAAAATTCGAAGCCAAGCTTTCTTGTGCAGTTGTCGGTAGGTATTTACTATTAGTACCTTAATTAGCAGGTACACTGTAGGCATGCGGATTCGAGATGCCCTAACTAATGTACTGCCTACATGCAATAATTAAATGTGTGATATAGTATCGATGTGCATTGTCGTAATAAAATTGATCTATAAAATATAAAATTCGTAATTGCTTACTGAATGAAGAAAAAGTACAGTTTAACAAAAAATGATAGGTCAGCAGATATTAAAGAGACCTCGATGATAAATGAATCTTCTAGCGCATAGACATTTAATTTGAACCCGACTACTTTCCTAGAATGGGGAGAATGGCCCATGCAACCGGGAACATAATTTGTTGTCAAACGGTTTTCAAGTCCGTATGTATGAAAAATCTTCAATGTGAGTCACTGACCTTAACAACCATACGGAGATAATGGTCTCTAATCAGTGTATTTTTCCATTTTTCAGATGGCGGAGCGTCGAATAAGCCTGTTAAGGCCGATGCCTATGGAGCAATTGCGCTTCTCCGGGCTATGGCGCGGAGAAGCGTTCTACAAAACGGGCTTAGTTAATCCGCCAGATTTCTGCCAGACCAAGCAACAAATTATACTTGAGGAGTCAGGCCATTCTGTGAAGGCAAACTGGCAAAAACTGAAAGACGAATTAAGTGAACAAGTTCGGGCACTTCCACAATCAGAGATCACAAAATCCCTTCGAGAATTGCAGGTTCTCTGTCAGGAAGCATTGGGTGACGTCGACGAAGCCACGTGCCAGGCCGCCGCAATTCAACTGCTGACTATATTTGCGGAAAATCAAGGAGTTCTTCGTAATGAGGACTTAATCGCGGTCACATGCTCAGTGGCACCCATTTCGAGAAACATTCTTGAGCGTATCTTTGAACATGTTATGTTAATGCGCGATGCCTTTGGCGAGGTACTGGGTTCTGTTGTGCAAAGCGTGTCAAAAGAAGAAAAAGGGAACGCGTTCTTAAAGGAAGTAAAGGATTTAAAGTTTTTCCGAATGCAATGTTCTCCCAGTTGGCTTCGGAAAGATTTCGCTTTTGTGTTCAGAAAGCCGGTCCAGGATGTCGAAAGAAAATTGCACTTTAACGATATTGTTCAGAAAACTAACGAACAATCCGGTAGGTTAGCGCGCAGAACCACTGACTATATTGATGCGGGTTGGCTTGAAGACAAGGTTCGCAGTTACATGAAAACTCGCGTACGTGCTAGCGATATGTCACCTGAAGAGATTGTTGAAATTATAATGGTTCGACTCGAATCCAACAACCAAGATGATGTGGTATCAGCTGATCTATTCGAAATGCTCGGAATTGGTTACTTTGACTTGATCTCGGAGGTGATTAAGGAGCGCATTTCGATTGTGAAGGCTGCGACGAAGAACGCGGTCCTTGGGGTTGCTGTTGCGCGAAACGACAAATCAGTAGGATTAGCCCGACAGTACAATAACCCTCTTGGAGAGACTGTGTCTGTCGACCTCGTAAGTAATATTAAGATAAAGAAGATGATGGCAAAAGAAGAGAAAAAGCTTCAAAAGGTGGTAGCTAACGGTGATAGTGATGATCTAACGATAAATGAACTACGAAAACTTAAACAAATGGAATTAACTGAACGTTACGGTGCGAGATCAGGACGATCCTCTTCAAATGGGGTGTACATTGGCCAAAACACGACGATGGAGGAAACGATGCCTAACGTTTATGATTGCATGCGTTACTTACGAAGCACAAAAGTGTTCGTAGGCGGTTTGAATCTTGTTCTCCCAGAAGGTTGCCAGCAGATCGTCAAACCCTACTACGATGAGATACATATACCTGTTAAAAATCACAGTCCACCGAAGGTGTGCCCCCTAATATCCATATGTTCTTTGGACGAAATCTTACAGATGGCCTTTCCAAATACAGAACACCTAAATCTTATACAAAGTGCAGTTTATCCAGTTGCCTATAAACTGAACGATAATATGTTGATCTGTGCACCCACCGGAGCCGGTAAAACGAATGTAGCCATGCTGACGATTATGCGCCTAGTACGAATGTACATTGATGAAACGATCAATCGTGTGTCGAACGACTTCAAAATAGTTTATATTGCCCCCATGAAGGCATTAGCTGGCGAAATGGTGTCAAATTTTGCTCGAAGGCTCTCTCCATTTGGAGTTATTGTTAGGGAGCTAACTGGAGACATGCAACTGACTAAAATGGAAATGACGAAAACTCACATGCTGATTACGACTCCAGAGAAGTGGGATGTGGTCACAAGGAAAGGTTCTGGAGACGCGCAGGTCTTACAGATGGTTAGGTTGCTGATTCTCGATGAGGTTCACTTACTGCATAGTGATCGCGGTCCGGTACTTGAAGCTCTCGTAGCCCGCACCCTTCGCCAGGTGGAAAGTATGCAGTCCATGATTCGTATTATTGGTTTGTCCGCTACATTACCGAACTATGTGGACGTAGCGAATTTTCTGCGAGTAAACACAGCAAGAGGACTGTTCTATTTCGACCATCGTTTTAGACCTGTACCCTTATCGCAAACCTTCATTGGTATCAAAGGCCGCAAAAAAACGGAGCAAGTCCAGCGTATGGATGAGGTTGCTTTTGAAAAGGCTTTCGAAATAGTCAAGAACGGCAATCAAGTTATGGTCTTCGTCCATTCGCGGAACAATACTCTTCGATCAGCCGAAGTGATGATGCAAATTGCCACCGAGCATGGTAAACTTGAGTACTTTTTGCGGAGTAAACATCCACAGTATAAAATTTTTGAGAAACAGCTACAAAGTTCGCGAAATATGAAGCTACAACAGATATTTGCGTCCGGGATGGGCATGCACCACGCAGGGATGGTTCGACAGGATCGAAACTTCGTTGAAAAAGCTTTCTCGGCAGGCGTTATTTCAGTACTATTCTGTACGTCTACTCTTGCCTGGGGCGTGAACTTGCCCGCCAACTGTGTCATCATTAAAGGTACCGACATCTATGATTCACAAAAAGGCTCCTTTGTAGACCTCAACATTCTAGATGTGCAGCAGATTTTTGGCCGAGCTGGTCGTCCTCAATTTCAGCAAAATGGCGAGGCTGTGATCATTACGCATCATGCTAAAATGAGCAATTACATCTCGCTGATGACTAATCAAACTACAATTGAAAGTAAATTTCACGAAAATTTAGTTGACAATTTGATTGCCGAAATTGTTCTTGGCACAGTTACTACAGTGGATGAAGCCGTGGATTGGCTAAGCTATACGTATCTTATGGTACGTATGAAGAAGAATCCGCTCGTCTATGGAATCACGCTTAAGGTTGTGTCTAAAGATCCAAACTTGATCAATTACCGTCGGGAGCTCATTATTGCCGCCGCCAAGAAATTAGACTTAGCTAAAATGATACGATACCATGAAAAATCGGGAAGTTTCGATGCGACAGACCTGGGCCGCACTGCGTCCTGTTTCTACATTAAATATGAGACAGTACTTAGAATCAACGAATGGTTTGAGCGTCGTATATCGCCAATGCAGGATGGTGACGTCCTAGAGATAATCAGCTACGCGCAGGAATTTGACCAATTACAACTGCGGGAAGACGAATGCCACGAGCTTCAAATAATGGAAAGAAACTGCAAACTGCCTCTAAGACAGGGTGTACACGGTACGAAAGTAAATACCCTGATTCAAAATTATATATCGAGGGGCAATGTGGAGACGTTCTCGTTGGTGTCGGACTCAAATTACATTGCTCAGAACGCCACCAGAATTGCCCGTGGTTTGTTCGAGATGGCGCTTCGAAAGGGAAACTCACTTGCTGCGTGGCGTTTTTTGATGAATGCAAAAATGCTTGAGCGTCAAATCTGGCACTTTGATAGCCCACTCCGTCAGTTCCCCGGTGTAACAGAGAAAACACTTCAAATGTTAAAGGAAAAGCATGCAACCATCTCGCACCTTAGAAATATGACTTCGGACGAAGTTGGACAGCTTGTTTATAATAAGTCACAAGGACGCCTTATCCATCAATTTGCACAAAATGTGCCGTTTATAGAAGTTGAGTGTTCAGTACAACCAATAACTCGTACGGTGCTGAGAGTTTCGCTCAATATTATGCCGGCATTTGTTTGGGATGACCATTTCCACCACAACGCTGAAGCGTTTTGGATCTGGGTGGAAGACCCAGAGAGTGAGAACATCACACACTCGGAATATTTGGTCCTCAAAAAGAAGCAGATTGTGAATGCAGAACCACAGAACCTTGTCTTTCCGATTCCTGTGAGTGATCCTTTACCTTCACAGTATCTGATCCACGTCGATTCTGATAGGTGGCTGGGCTCCGATGACGAGATCCCTATGCCGTTTGAGCATCTGATTCTGCCAAGCGTCTACATGCCGCATACGGAACTGCTCGACCTTCAGCCGTTGCCAAAGACGGCTTTGAAAAATGAGCTCTTTGAGTCACTCTACCATTTCACGCATTTCAACCCGATTCAAACGCAGCTGTTTCATACGTTATACCATACTGACCATAACGTGCTTCTGGGTGCGCCTACAGGATCAGGTAAGACTATCACTGCGGAAATAGCAATGTTCCGCGTTTTCAACATGGAAAAACACCGCAAAGTTGTATATATAGCTCCTCTCAAAAGTTTGATAAAAGAACGCGTCAACGATTGGAATAAACGGTTAGTGGGCCAACTTGGCTTAAACATGGCCGAGTTGACCGGAGACGTCACCCCGGATTTCCGGACGATTGCAAATGCTGATATTATTGTCACCACGCCAGAAAAGTGGGACGGAGTATCCCGTTCGTGGCAAACGCGACGCTACGTACAAAATGTGGCTCTCATTGTGATTGACGAGATTCATCTTCTCGGCGAAGACCGAGGCCCGGTCCTTGAAGTGATCGTATCGCGAACGAACTTCATTAACACTTTCACTGGGAATAAAGTGCGTATTATAGGCCTGTCCACTGCGCTGGCAAACGCGCGTGATCTGGGCGACTGGTTGCAGATTAGTGAGGAAGGTCTTTTCAACTTCAAGCCATCAGTGAGACCAGTGCAGCTCGAAGTGCATGTGTCAGGTCATCCGGGCAAACACTATTGCCCACGTATGGCGATTATGAATCAGCCCGCATACAAGGCAATCCTACAGCATTCGCCTAATCAGCCAGTGCTGATCTTCGTGTCATCCCGTAGGCAGACTCGATTAACAGCGCAGGCTCTCCGAACATCTGTCGTCAATAGCGAGAACCCACAAAAGTGGTTGCGAATGACTGTCATTGATATGCAGCATATTCAGAATCAGATTCGAGATAAAGACCTACGCGATTTGCTTGGCTTTGGTATAGGAATGCATCACGCCGGGCTGCAGGAGGAGGATCGTCGGCTCGTCGAAGAACTTTTTCTCAACAACAAGATTCAAGTGTTGATAGCGACGGCCACGTTAGCGTGGGGTGTCAACCTACCCGCTCATCTTGTCATTGTGAAAGGCACGGAATATTTCGACGCCAAAACCAATACTTATGTCGATTACCCGATTACAGACGTTTTGCAAATGATCGGTAGAGCAGGGCGGCCACAGTTCGATACCAGTGGAGTTGCCGTTGTACTGGTACATGACCAAAAAAAGAACTTCTACCAGAAGTTTCTCTACGAACCGTTCCCAGTAGAGAGTTCTCTTCTAAAAGTTCTTCCAGATCATTTAAACGCTGAAATTGTGGCAGGAACTCTGTCCACTACTCAAGACTGCATTGAATATATGACTTGGACATTTTTCTTCAGGCGTTTGTTGCTTAATCCCAGTTACTATGGTTTGGAGGATACTACAAATGAAAGCGTTAACAAGTTTCTATCGAATCTCATTACCGATGCACTAATCAAACTGGTTCTTTCGCATTGCATTGAGATCGAAGAAGACGAGCGCACATTGGTGCCTACGCCCCTTGCAAAGATCGCGTCCTACTATTATCTTTCACATGAAACTGCGAAATTCCTTCATGAAACGCTGAAACGCAACTGCACGTACCTGCAACTGCTCGAAATACTATGTGATTGCAAGGAGTTTGCGGAGTTACCTGTTCGACACAACGAAGATAAGGAAAATGCAGAATTGGCTAGAGACTGTCGCTGGGGTCACTATCGTAAAAGCTACGGAAGTCCACATACAAAAGCGTTCCTGTTATTACAGGCGCACATGGAGCACTGCCGATTGCCGTGTTCAGACTACGGGCTTGATCTCAAATCCGTTCTTGATCAGGTTCCAAGGGTTATCCAAGCTCAGATAGATATTCTTACAGCCCGAGGTTATTTGTCATCTGTGTTGAACTGTATAACGCTGATTCAGACTATAACGCAAGCGCGATTCCATGATCTTGACGATCCTCTTCAAACGTTACCGGAAATTAGGCGCGAACACCTGTACATGTTCCATAAAGCCGATGTGTCTACCCTGGCCGAAGCCATCCACAAGGTGCGCACGAGGGAAGGTTTTGTAAATCTTCAAAAGTCTCTACAATCGGAGTTTGATCCCGAGTACGTTAAGACAGTTTTAGCAATCTGTAAAGAGCTTCCATCAATAGTATTAAGAATCTTCCTCGATGGCCCAGGTTGTCAGTCTCTGCAAATAAAAAATAGACCTTTACAAGGCCCTGTGCCAGAAGATTACTATATTAAGGTCAAGCCAGGTGAGGAGTACTTAGTGAGCGTTGAGCTGACTCGACTCAACTCTAAACCGGGCCAGCGTGGCGTCCCGAAAGCAGCAATGCAGTCACGGACGCTAAAGTGGAAAAATGAAAACTGGTTTATCATCTTAGGACATAAAGATAGTGGCGAATTATACTCTCTGAAAAGACTATCAGGCTTCTACCACACGATGACTCACCAATTGATATTCAGGGTGCCGGAGAGTATAAATCAGCGGATCATTCTCACCGTATTCGTTGCATCCGACACCTACCTTGGACTCGATCAGGAATACAATTTGTATCTCGAACCAGAAAGATAGCTAGGCCTAACAAGGTTTAAGAAATGAAAATTGGATAAAGTTAACTGACAATTTTGAAAGTGCTATACAAATGCTAAGAGAGTTGCCCGGCAGAACCAATTAGTGAGGGTTCGTAAATGCTTGTAAATGAAATGGTCGCCCATCTGTAGCTTATATCTTTGCAATAAATGTTAAATATGAACGTTTTAATAGTGTTTTCCATTCCAGTTCCGAGCCGAAAAGCAAAAATGGACACGTTTCAACTCCCCTACTGTAATTAGTTATGACAATAAATACATAATAATAAATTGGTCATGGTATATCAGCAAAATAAAGGTGCAAAATTATTGCATTACTTACATATATATTGTGGTTAAATTTCCGAATAAAAAATTGAATTCTTGAACCAGTTGAGCTGCGAAAAAGGAGACAATGACCAAAAATAACTGTGTATATTTTTCTTGACAAGAAAAAAATGTACACAAAAAGATATATGGAAAGAGAACTTTGGTCTTTTATGAAACCTCTATTGATAATGCTTACCAGTTAATGATACCGCATTTCGTTGCCTGGAAAATCATAATAATAAAAGTTTAGCTCATTGAAATATGAATTAAATACATAAACAGCAATATCTACATCCGTTGTGTTACGCGTCTATGTTTTGGCTTCTCTACATACGGATTTTGAGTGTTGTTAGGCCTCTTTCAATTTAGCGGACTAATTCTGAGTAGATGGAACAATCAGGACAAGGTTGTATCCCTGGTTAATGTCCGACCGTAATTTGCGTGATAGCCCAGTCTCGTCTATTTTTTTAAATTTATTTAAATATACTGTTATTGTAGTAATTAGAGTTTTGTAATAGTTAGTAAAATAGATGAATGATGACCGACATTACAATGTCGGTCATCATTCATCTATTTCCAACCTCCTGGGGTTGATTAACTGTCGTATTTCCGGAGATATATCGTTTCTGCTCGCTCACGTTCATAACAGCATTCATACAGATAAAACTCGGAGCATAGAGAGAAGTCCACACCTAGCCAACATCAGCTAATATTTCCCTTCGGTTGCCTTCGAGCTGTTTCGTAAGCAGCTAAAGTTTATAACATATAGGTAAAGCTCTTTTGTTTTGAATGAACTTTGACTTATTGCAAGTAGGTTTGCCGTATTGCGTTTTGCTGAAAGTTCCTAAGCTTTTGTGACCTTGCTAGACATTTCAACTCTTCAAATTGTGGTATGCTCACAGCGTGCTTATTGGCATCGCAGGCGAGTTAATCTGTGCGGTACAAGGTGTCCATATTTGAAATACTGGTTCGCTTAACTTCTTTGTTGTCAGACAAAGTCCATTGACAACATTCAGGCTATCAGTGCAATCATCGATTCTGCTTTCGTATCTCGAAATCAGAATTCAAAGATAAGGCCTGCGATACGCTATTGTCAGGATCATACGAGAACACAAACCTGCAACTCACAGAGGAATTCACGACGATTTTCTGACTGAGCTTCCCATTATTTTGAACTGAACCATGTAGTTTATATGTTTAGGTTATTCGCAAAGTGCGGCGCTTACATCCGAATTTTTTTTTATACTTTGTTTGAAAACTGTAGATAAAAGCAGATTTCAAGATTGCGGAGGTGCTAGAAGCGTTGTTCCTAATGAGCACAATTATTAATTGTGAAAATCATTTACTGCGATTATAGGATCAATTTAGGAAGTAAAACACTCATTAGTCATTTTGAAAGTATTATTTTTTAATTCGCGAGTAACTTTTTAATCACAGCCGTGCACATAGCGAAATAGGTAGGCATAAATTCATAAGTGCCATTCAAATACCCTACATACAAAAATATCTAACGAAATTAATTTTTAAGGTACTAACAGCACAGAAGTACCAAAAATGCAAAACGTGCAAAAAGTCTCAGAAAAATTAACTGTTAAAGCTTACCTAGGCAACCCAATCCATATTCTCTTTCCCAAAACGACTGCTTGCCTTTCTAAACCAAGGCAGGTGCATCAAAGGTGACTTTCAAAGTCCTCTTTAATTTTGAGCCCTCTATAATCAAACACTGCTGAGGATCTTCCGGTTTACCTCGTGAAAATCTTTCTCGAACTTTTCAAGAACCACATGAAACTGGTAGTAACGTAGGCCGTCGATTCCGGCAAGGTTGGAAGTTTTTAGTCTCGTTAATGCTTCACCTAGCGTGAAAAGATTGGATAATATCTGATCTTCGCTCAAATTTTGAAAGCGACGCACGGTTTTTAGCATTGACTAGCTTATTGCTTTGTTCTAGTAAGAAACTAGCTTTGTTTTGATACCAAATGTAACGCATGATCGCATGTCCGTTACGACAGACAGCTTTCCGAAGTTTTGTCGGGATTATTATTAGACGCCGCAATCACACAAAGTCAAGCAAACATGGGATTGTGCAACAGTGTAACAGCGTCTCAGTCAAATAAGTGCAAGCATTTGGCTGCTCACTACTCATTAAAAAGCTATTTATAGAGATTTTTTTCAAAATACTTTAAAATATAAGCTCTTTCCTGTTATAATAAAGTCATATTCATTAACTCAATGGACCCAAATGCCGACTTTATACTTCAGCAGCTACGTTTTAACTGCTCTGAACATTTCCTTCATGTAACATGGTTATGTTACACACTCCGTTAAACTTATAGAGAGGTGAGGAGCAGGTAGGGCTTGATCTCATCAAGTTCAATGAATTCGTAAGCCTGAGAAGCGCCAACTCCTCAGTATGCTGTTATGTTCGGCTGTGGTATATCATACCATACCAAACTTCTGCTTTTCTTGAATTGGTCTGCAGATTTATCTGTGTTTGTGAAAGTGCTGAGTCTGGTTCTTCTAGACATTTCTATGGGAGGTGATTGATGGTTTTCGACAATGTCTCTTTTCTGAATTAAGTGTGTTAGCTGAATTGATTAGTATATCTATATGTCGTTCTGTTTTCAATAATTTTACGTCTTACATCCTTTGTAAATCGAGAAAGTTACTGTCGCATACCATATTTCGGTATCACTGATCATGAACTGATGATCAATTTTCAACTGTATAAGACTTGGGATAGAATTGCGTTTTTATATAAAAATTAGATGTTAGAGTACGCATGCAAAGCTGGTGTGCCCGTGAAGCTCGTGATTGAAGAGTACAGACAAAATTTATGCTGTGAATTCGCTCTTCTCGGGTTGCCAAAACGACTAGAAGTATCACGACAAAGCAACAATAGACGATTAATTCTGTAGCTCTTTCTCAGCGCTACTTTCTATGGCAAACTGCTTAATTCTGTTGTTTTAGCATTTGGCTCAGTTCGCGCAATCTGGAAGACCTACCTAGGAGAAATAACCATAGACCTGTCGCTCGGTACCTGTACGCTGTCCATATGGGATTCGACGACCTTCAAATACCTGATCAGATTGGAGAAACCCCATAGACACACAAGGTCTTCACCAGTATTGCACCAATGCTTCAAAACGGAATTCATTGCGGCAACTGAACAAAAACAGCGCTAAAGTAATACAAAGTCCTGTAGATTGTACTTGTATCATTGGCTTCGAGGTGGTGCTTCTAAGAGCATTGCGCACTTTGGCCGAGAAATAGGCTCTCAATGTTAATTTAACGAAAATGTTATCCGAAACGATTTTATTTTAAGCCTTATCTTTATGGAAATTGGGGTTAAGGGATACGGGACCCAATTTTATTGTCAACCGCAGAATAATAAATATTACAACACAAATGGCAGTGAATTATTTCATTTAAATGTATAAGCATTTGCTTGAACATATTTTGTTTATTTCATTTAAACGTAGACTTCTGCGCTCTTTTTATTAATATGTGTACTGCCGTGATATGATTACATTTTCTATTTCGAACAAGTTTAAACATCTTCTTTGAAGCATCGTATTAATGCCTTTATAGTTTGAATCAATTTTTGTTTTGCAACGAATTAACCAAAGTATCGATACATAAATGACACGGCTAAAATTTATTTTTGCTGATATACCAAATGCATAACATTTGATTAAATAATTACAGGAATTTTAACTCGAACTCCGATGCAATACCGTTATGACAGATGATGACGGTGCAGCAGCTGCCGATTCGACTGACGAATCGGAACCCAGTGGATCAAAAGTTAGTCCAGCGAAAATATTTGGAGAGGCCTGCAAAACAACCTGCAAGGCTCGTAAAGGCCTTCCGTTGAAGGTTCAAGTGGAAGTGCTAAAGAAGTTGATGGCTGGAGCAAAACAAAGCCAACTTGCAATCGAATTCAATGTCTCGCAGAGCCAGATCTCGCGGATCAAATCAAGCCAAGAACGGATCCTTTGTCAGCATAACTAAATAATATAGTCTAATATAACTAGAAAATATAAGGGGCTTCTCCGAATTATTTTGAAAGAATCTGTGTTGGCAAAATATTTACCCTGATTATTTGGTGATTCATAGTTGGAGAGCGTTATGTACGATAGTCACTTGGAGATCGCTTTCTAATTATCTACAAATTTTGGACTGTTCATATTTATTGAACGCATTCAAAGATTTACTTAATGACCTGAATGAGACATTAACCACAAAATATATTTGCATGTCTCGTCATAACAATAGGCTCATAGAGTGCCCCATCTAATTTTTAATAATATTCATCTGTTATATCTGTCGTATCAGATCAGTCTACTGGGAAATTTTATAGCAAAATTCAAATTTTATTATCGAGAGCACCTGCTTCGAGAGCTAGTGGTGCTGTGCGATTACTCTCTCCAGGCATCGACGGAAGGAATTTCCCTAATGGGGAATCTTCCTCTAAATACAAATGTCGCCTAAAAAGTGTGCGCTTTATTATGTTATCATAGTATCCTCACAACCTTGCAATCAAAGACATAACCCTCAGTTTGTCCGAGATTTACGTAGCTCGTTGGTTTTTGGTACTCCCAATACAGATACTCCGCAGAAAAAACGGTAGTTAAGTTGCGTGAATTCTGAATTGTCTTAGTTACCTATTTATTACGTATCAACGAATCACAATAGTTCAAGTTTTGTTCTTTTTGCAGGTTTATTGTTGAAAAGCATGCATTTTGTCAAAGTAGCATGCAATTAACTGCCGAAAACCCGGCCGTCGGCGGGGGTACTATTTGACTTGTGGAGATAGAAAGTTGGCAATTGAAGAAAGCAGCGATTTCTTCTAGAAGCAA